CTAGGGTCACTTAAGCACTAAACCTAGAAATTCTTCTGCTGGGGGCTTTCTGACCAGCTTTGCCAAGGAATCCACCATAGAAGTCACAGATGTCCCTAAGGCTGAAGCTGTTTAGAGACCAGGCCTCTTCTCATTTGTCAGGTTCAGTCAACAACGCCCTAGGATATGCTTCTTTGTGTGGAGGTCCTGACCCTCTCTCTCTCTCTCTCTCTCCTCTCTCTCTCTCTCTCTCTCTCTCTCACACACACACACACACACACACACAAACACTATGTGATGGAAAGGACACCACCTAGTTCTAGCAGAAAGAGGCTCCCTACCCCCAAGTCAATCCAGCCCCAGCAAGGCAGAACCTCAGTCTAGGGCTGACTGTCTGACTGCTGCAAACATCAAAGAGAGCTTAGCAAAGAAGAGAGCCAAGTGTTAACGGCACTCACCTCAGGTAGCGACGGATGGGCTCACAAGCTACCTCCAGGATGACCATAGAGGGATCTAGCACACGTAATGCCTTGATGGCGGAAATGTAGAGAGTGATTATGTCACATGTGTTGACACCTACAGAGGAAGAGCCAGAGATCATATAGCAGCCTGTACTGCAGCCTCCTGAATGCCAACTGAATGCCAGCTGGCCACAGTGGCTGGGTGATCTGAAGGTTCCCATGAGGCCCTCATTCAAGGAAATTGCAGTTACCTTCTTGTCCCACCCCCAACTCAATCCATTTATAGGCACAGACACTAGAATTTTCCAAGGAACAGTCTATTACAATTTGAATCTAGAATGTCCCCTACAGGCTTATGTTTTGAATGCTTGATTCCCAACTTGTGTTGCTATTTTAAAAGCCCAAAAGTTTAGTAAGCAAGTTCTAGTGGTATATGCCTTTAATCCCAGCAATTGGGAGGCAGAGGAAGGTGGATCTTTGTGAGTTCATGGCCAGTTTGGTCTACATAAAGAACAACAACAACAAAAAGAGCCTTTAGTAGGTTAAGCTAGTGAAAGTATGTTACTTCCTAAGTTCTGGTTTCTTGGCTGTCACATGCCTATGCCAAAAAACCTTTTCTATTATGATGGACCATACCTTCTGAGAATAAGTGAATAAACCCTTCTGCCCTTAAGTTGATTCTGTCATGTATTTGGTCATGCAACATAGGAAGTACTAACATATAAACCTTGCCCTTACCAGGCAGCCTCTTCTGAAAAGACTCATACTACCCCTAGACCAAATCAGAGAGGCTCTGACTTCCTCCCAAGACACATAAAGCTCAGGGTTAACTCAGTTCTCCCAAGCACTTCAGGCCTTTCTCAGGCCTACAAAGCCAGGGCTGTTAACTACATGTGAGCCCTGAGGGCTATCTGCATGGCCAGTCCACAACAGCCATACATGATACCTGGGTGCAGGAGTCGAGTTTCTAGGGCCACCTTGAGGGATACAAGCAGCTGTTGCCTCTGATCTGTCCTTTCCAAGCAGTACTTAAGGTCCTCAATGGCTGGCCGAGAGTCTGGGAAGTCTGAAAGAAAACATGTCACAGGGATAGGCAAGTAAAAAGGTGTAACAAACACTAAAGGATATACATAGTAAAAATTACACACCTGGCAAGGACCCAGACAAAAGTCACCTATCAGGTAAAATATACTCTGTTGTCAATGTAACCTTCACTAAAGGCCATCTGACCATGGCCTTTAGTGACTGTTTCATCTGACCAGAGGCACAGTTGGCTACTTCACTAAAGGAACACTTTGCCAAGCCAACCAACTACTCTCTCAATCCACTGAGGATCATCAGTGGAACATTAATGCGTGAAGTGCAATGACACTTAAAGCTCTAACAACTGCCTTAACTCACACAACATAGTCATTCCTCCCATTGTGTATAGTGGTAGGTAGCTCAACTGTCCCAAGTTGTACTATTTTTGGGAAAAAAAAAAAATTAAGTGTTGTCAAACTTTTTTTTGTGTGTGGGGGGGAAGACAGGGTGTCTCTGTGTAGCCCCGCCTACCCTGGAACTTGCTCTGTAGACCAAGCTGGCCTTGAATTCACAGAAATCCACCTGCCTCTGACTCCCTGAGTGCTAGGATTAAGTATGTGCCACCAGTCCCAGCTATCTTGTTTTTTGTTGTTGTTGTTTTTTTTAGTATTTAAATTTTTTATATTTGAAGTATTTGTTCGCAGGGACTGTTTTCCTGCCCTTATGTATATGTTCTATGTGCATGCCTGGTACTAGCAGAGGCCAGGAGAAGACTTTGGATTCCCTCGCACTGGAGTTACAAATGTGAGCTGCCACATGGATGCTGATCATAACCAGAATCCTTTTAACTGAATCCTTTTAATACTTCTACATGTTGACACTTGATTAATAATAACCAGACATGACAGAGTGATACACAGAAGAGAGTCCTAAGCAGGAACCAAGATGAAAGAGAAGAGTGGAAAACCAGAAGTATATACTCACTGCTGATATTGACTCTGACCATGTCAGAAGAGGTCCAGCTCTGCTCAACTTACCACCCTGCCAACAGCTAAAGGTAAAATTGGAAAAGGTAGGTCCTGCAAGGTAAGAGGCGCGACCAACCTCGAATGATGCTGAAAAGCTCCTCAATGCGTAGGCTGGCATAGATACGGTAGAAGAATCTCTGTACGTGGCAGCGCCAACGACGCAGTGTGTTCCCAGCTTCTGGAGAAGTGGGTCTGGTGGGGTTGTCCTGAAGGAACACTTTGCCAAGCCAACCAACTACCCTCTCGATCCACTGTGAAAGATCATTAGTGTGTGAAATGTAATAACACTTCAAAGTTCCTTTGGCAGGACCCTAGAGGAGGCCCCACCTGTGTCTTGAGGCCAGAGGCATCAAATCTACACTCCACTGCCCACGGCTCAATTGCATCTGCCCCAAGAGTTTCCAGGCTCATGACTCTAGGCCAACACTGCTGGGACACCCACTTTGATCATTCCCCATCATAGCTAATATGCATCCACAAGGGATAAGACACATGAAAAACGGAGGTAGGGAGGGAGGCAAAAACAGGGTGTACAGCTTCATGAGGCTGAACCTAGACTTTTCACAATGCTGGGAAACATAGCAGAATTACAACCCATACCTAACAATACAGGCAACCAGAGGCCTTCACTGGGACACCCTAGCCCCATACCAGGGTACAGAGTAGTTGTAGGTTAATCCCAAAGGCAACTGTTAAGTGAGCATACATTTTGTCAAAAGGGGAAAGAAAAGAATCTGTAGACCTGTCTTGCTGTATCTGCGTGGGGAAACCCTTTGGGACCACTTCTGTCCCAAGATTCTGCTTCTAGCCATAGGATTCTGCACAGACCTACTTAGTACATACCAGATTTGTCTTTGTCACCAGGGTCCAGGATTGTCCTCTACACAGTACCAAGATAATCTCACCCATCACCACTCCTGGTCAACCTGCCTACTATTTGGTGCCACAAATCCACTTTGCCCTTAATAGAACCCAGCCCAGGGAGGAGAATGTCACCTTGTGGAACTCACGCAGGAAGGAGCGCTCATATTCTCCACGACAGCGGTCTTCCATCCTTTCCCGGGTCACCTGATGCAGGGTGTTTGTCACAGCCTCAGCGCTGACACGCTCCAGCAGACTGAGCTTATGCCTAAAGGAGATCTCTGCTCATAGAAAAATCATAACATACATCTGTCCCTTACCTAGGGGGCTCTTCCCATAAGGATACGCAATGCATATACTCCAGACCTATGTCCGGGACAGTGTAAACTTGCTACACAGTAACTCCTGGCTACAAGTACAGGTGGAAAAGACCTCACCAGCCAGTTTACTAGCTCTATTCAGAGGTATATTAAATTCAGGACAAATGGGGCATTCATAAACTGGGGTATGGCCAGAAGGCAGAACTTACAGAACTTGGCTGAGCTGGTGGAACTGCTCCAGTGCCTGTCGGCACCAGCACTGCTGTTTATCACTGCCACATCCTGCGCACAGAGGGCTCTGTAAAAGTCGGTAGTACCTGCGGCGGGCATACCGGCTGTCTAGCTCACCCTCTAGCTCGGGATCTGTGCCCCCTTCTCCTTTTCTCTTGCTCTGCATATAGACTCTCAGGAAACGACCATAGAGGCGCTGGACCATCTCCTGGAATGTCCTGGGGGTGGAAAAGAACAGGACTCCCCGCAACATGGTGTGAACTTTCTCCCGAAGCCCCTGAGCTCCAGTGCCCATCAGCAAGCCCAGACGAGTCCATTTCTCTAGGAGTTCTAGGCTATGCAGGTAGGGATCCAAGCGGCTTTCCAGAAGGCCGAAAGCATCCAAGAGCAGCAGAAGGCATTGGGGTTCATCGACAGAGTTTTCGCGCTGGGCGATGGCATTCCAAAACTCTGGGGCAATGTTGCCCTGAAGGTCGTTCTGCAGCACCTCCACGAACCACTCCTCCAAAACAGAGTGCAGACCATGGCCCCTCAGAACCTCCACCGCTGCGCGGAGCTCTTCCTCCTTTGGTGGGACCTCACCGCTGGTCCGGGAAGAAGCCTGGAGTACGGAAAACTGTGAGCAGAGGGGCGGGGTAAGGGCAAAAGGAGGGGAGGAGCGCGGAAAAACAAACAAACAAACAAACAAACAAACAAAAACCCACCAGCGGCAGGGTTACCAGGGAACCAAACAAATAAGGGGGCAAGCTCACTACAGACAGCAGGCACAGAGCTGTGAGAACCAAAGGGTGGACTCCCTAAATCACACAGGGTAGCGGGAACTCGGCACAGGCCCGCCAACCTTTCCCCGGCCTCACCAGCCCTAGCGCGGCCGGCGGCACCAGACCGGTGCTCACAGTATTCCAGGCAACCAAGAGCTCTTGTCCAGGCCTAAAGTCGCAGTCATCGGCGGCACCAACTGCCGACGCCGGCATCGCCGTCACGGCCACAGCCTCAGCCTCCATCAGCGTCCACAAAACAGACGCGAACAGCGTGGCGCACAGTGATGATGCAACGCTGGCCTGGCGCCCAGCTGTGACGTTCGCTTGTCCACGCTCTGTGGAAGCGGTGCGCAGGCGCGGGCCTGGCTGTGCGGGCGGCGGTTGAAGCTTCCGGACGCGGCGCGGAACATGACCCAACAGGGCGCGGCGCTGCAGAACTACAACAACGAGTTGGTCAAGTGTGAGCAGCGGGAGCTGAAGGTCAAAGGCGGTGGGTCGGCGTCCGGCCGACCCACTCGGGAGGACGCGCGGAACGCCTCACGAGCCCCGCTCTGCGGCCTGTCCCGTGTCGTGCTGGTCGGGGTACGAAGCTCACGAGACCCATCCCACAGCTCTGTCTTCCCGCCCTCCCTAGGCATTGAGGAGTTGTGTCAGAAGCGAGAGGAGCTGTGCCGGCAGATCCAGCAGGAGGAGGACGAAAAGCAGCGGCTGCAGAATGAGGTGAGGCAGCTGACGGAGAAGTTAGCCCGCGTCAACGAGAACCTGGCGCGCAAAATCGCCTCTCGCAACGAGTTTGACCGGACCATCGCAGAGACAGAGGCCGCCTACCTCAAGGTGGGGCTCTCGGATGTGCACCGTCAGTGCCTCACTAGCATCAGAGGCTAAGGCCCATTGGGTTGAGAGGCAGTAGGTGGGACAGTGGGCTCTCTATGGGATCCAAGAGCATGAGCAGCGGTATGTTGAAAAGAGTGCAGTTTGAGCCAGTGCTAACCCTTTGCCGGGTGGGAGGAAGGGCTGTGGGACAGATGCAGGAGGGAGGATGATTTTACCCACCCCCCTGTAGCCGTTTGTCTGCAGCACAGATGGCCAGATTGAGATTCCCATCGCTGAGGCCATGGGACCTTCCTACCAGAGAAATAACAATCCTTTTATTTCTCTGACCCAGATCCTGGAGAGCTCTCAGACTCTGCTTAGTGTCCTCAAAAGGGAAGCTGGGAATCTGACTAAAGCCACAGCCTCAGACCAGAAGACTAGTGGAGGCAAGGACAGCTGACGCGTCTGTCTCAGCAGTGTCCTATGGCTGCTCAGTCCCCAACATGTCTGTCCTAAAGCATCTTTCTTCTTCGTGGCCTCAGATGCCGTCTCACTATCTCAGGTACCCAGAGGGGCAACTTCTGACCTCCACCTTCCTTGGATGATGAGAAACGCCCTAGGACAGTCCAGTGGGATAGGGGTTCCCAGCTCTGTACTCATGTATGCCATGGGAACCCTGGGTTCCTGGTTAGCTCCATGAGGGGCTTCTCTCTGAAGCTCCTAGATCCCCCTTGGGCTGCCAGGGAGGTCCTGGTCCTAGCCCAAGTACTGTGGGAGCCCCTCACTTTGCCTCCTTAGCCATTAGGGGTTTAGGCCAGGCATGTTGAGGAAAGAATCTTGACTCCAGAACTGAAACCCTAGGGCCCATCCCCATGGCCTCTCATGTTTCAATAAAGGTTGTTTTGCAAAGATCTGTGGTATCATCTGCCAGCTACCATGTATCCTGTTGGTAGGGAAGGCCTGCAGTTTTCTCTGACTATCCCATCTTCAAAATAGAGTTGAGGGTGCCCACCTCATTCAGGCAAGCCCTAGCCCTTAACTCTCCTTGTAAAGCTGCTGGTCTTTCACCCAAGTCCAGCACACAAACCACTTTCCTGTGAGGGGCTTAGCTATATCATGGTGCTCAGTGCAGAACTTGGCTCAGAGATAGCTGGCAACACTATACCAGCTGTTCTGGTTCTAGGTCTCAGCATAGACTCTGATTCTTCATATAGCATGTCCATTTCTTAGTACAAAGTTGTGTTTGATCCAGTACACTGCTGCCGCTGCCAGGACCCATCTCCCAACCACATGTATTGCTTACTTCCTTTTTCCTTGTGCTCTACGGCCCAGCCCTTTCCCACAGCTTCTCAGGGCCAAGTTTGAAAGTATTTGTTAACAAGATCTAGAAAACAGGTGTGGTAGTTTACACCTATAATCCCAGCATTGAGGAACAAGGTTTACCTTAAGTTCAAAACCATACTGGTCTGCAGAGTAAGCTGTAGGCCAGCTTGGGATGCAATGTGAGACTCTTTAAAAAAAAAAAAAAAAAAAAAGAAAGAAAAAAAAAATTATCCATAAAGCTAGGCTTACATACAAAACACTCCACCTAAGCCCAGTCAAGCAATATATATATCTGTTCTTAGGTGACAAAAAAAGACACTTGGATTACAGTTTGTCCATATCTGTAAATAGCCCAGGCCTCTGAGAACACAATTTTCAAGCAGGCAGCACTGCGTCTTTCTAGACTCTTGGGAATTCTCTGTTGCTATAGCCTTGTTACAGGTTCATGGTGAGGAGGTTTCCATATCAGACATGAGAAAACTCAAGAGTTGCACTTAACTCCATTCCTGTGCTGTATACAACTAGCTGTCTTACTAGGCTCCTGGCCCCATGGTAATAGAGTAGTTTGCAACCCTTACATTCCTCCCATCTGGCATCTAGGACCCTGGTCACAGAGTTCCAGACCCCAGAGATTAAGTCTAGCTCCCATTGTACTAGCTCTGAGGGAGAAAGTAACAGGCTTGGGGTTGGGAGAGAACAAGAGCAAGAGCCTGAACTAGCAAGACCTCAAGGTATGAGAACACCAGACTGAGGTCACTTTTTGCTTCTTTGCACACAGGTGCCCTAGTTAGGCCTCCACCTTGTTCTCAGACTGAGGGCTGTGTAAAGAAGGCAAGAGCAGCCTTATTATAGTGTTTATTGAGTCCAATATCGGGGGGGGGGGCAACACCCTGTCATCTATTATGAAGGGAAGCTGAATTCCACCATTGTAGCATCATGGGCTGAGGGCAGGAGCTTGGGTTCAGCAAAAAACAAATAGCTAGGATGGTCTCTCACTCCTAACATTGGCCACTCCTCAGAGGGTAGGAGCTGAAAGTCAGGACAAACAGTACCCTGCAGCAAGATATGTTCAGGCCTCCACCTCATCACCGATGGGACAGTATGGACAGATGTCTGCCTGTCACATAGGCAGTTCTCATCTGTTCTTCCTTGGAGTGAGATTCAGACCGGCCCTAAAGGCAGGAGGAGGCAACAGAGAGAGAAGGCAGAAAGAGCCAGATGGAAGGGGCACAGAATAGAGTAAGGGCTCCTGGGTATTGACTGGCTTCCAGGATCACCACACCTGGGCTAAGTCTTGGCCATCTTGACAGTTCCAGGGGTCAGAAATAGAGGGCTGGCTCGCTGCGGAAGTCGGAGAGATCATTCTGACTGGCAGGTGTGAGCTGAGAGAAAGAACAGAATAATACACTAAGGCTTAACCAGGCATCAACCTTTCCCCAAGCCAGTCAGCTTTTGGTGGTCTAGGTGTTCACCCCTGTACCCTCTACTGGCTTACCATGACTTCCTTTGGTGGGAGTTCTACCTCACTTGGAGCCTGCACCAGTGTCTGCTCCTGCCACTTACTGAAGGCTATGGAATGCTTTGGAGTATAGCTGGATAGGCCTGTGGACCAAAGAGAATAGGCATGGATACCTGGAAATCTGGCCCAGGTTCCACTCCCAGGCTGCCCATCCCAACAGGTGGTGTTACCTGAGCTGCCATCTAGTAATTGGGGGCTCTCAGGTCCTACACTGCTTACAAATGTGGCCCGTGGCAGGAAAGGGGCAAAGGGCTTCTCTGAGTCAGGCCCCACTTCCTCTTCACCATCCTCTGCTCCTCCTTCCTCCTCCTCTTCTTCCTCCTCTGCCTCTCCCTGTGCTAGGGAGCTCTCAGAAGGGTATTCAAATGTTGTATGCAGACTCTTGTCATTGAAGGAGATCTTCATCTAGGAGTAAGAGCCATGTTAGCAGGGGTTCTATCACCCAGTTAAACAGAAATGCTAAGCAGGGAGAAAAGACCCTTCTACAAAGAGTTATAGACCCCACCTGTCCCACCCTCTGACTGCACAAGCTATCATACTGTCAAGGCCTGCTTAAGAGGCTAGCAGTGGTGGTACACACCTTTAATCCCAGCATTTAGGAGGCAGAGGCAGGCAGGTCTCTGAGTTTGAGGCCAGCCTGGTCTACAGAGTGAGTTCCAAGATGGACAGGGCTACAGAGAGAAACTCTGTCTCAAAAACAAAACAAAAAAAAAGGTGCTAGACACCACCCATTTTTTAGGCTAATGGGGAGTCACACTTCTGTTAGAGTCCAGTACCTACAATACCATCAGTGACACCCAACTCCTGCCTACTGTGTACCTCTCATATTCAAGCAAATTCTCCCTTTTCTCCCAGGGGCTTGGTTCTGAGGGACAGAAAGCTGTGGGCAATGCTCTGTTATGATCCTCCTGTCTGCTACCTGGTCTGGGAGCCCCATCTCCACAGTTAATGCTGAGGTTCCCTAGCCCTCTTAACTGAGCTCAGCCTACTGGGTTGGTAATGAAGATGAGCACTTGTCTGCAGCAGATGGGACAGTCTTGCTGGGCTCGAAATATTAAACTCTCAGGCACAGGATACCAACAGCCAGCTCAGGTTCCCCCTCTCCTCCTGGAAGGAGCCAGAGGCCCAGCAGGATAGAAGAGTAGCCTAACAGAAGGGTTGAGCCTGTCCTGAGGCAGCAAAATGACCCTGGCACAGGCCATAGAACACAGCCAGGGGAAGAGACCTAGGCTATGAACCAGCATCCTGTCCCCTCAACCAATGGCCATACTTGCCCACGGGGCTGTTAATATTCCTGAGCCCTCTGTCGAGAGATCCCCTGACCCAGGACAAGAGGAAAGGCCTCAGGAATCAGAGCTGTTAGCTTTTCCTCAACCTGCTCAGAGACATTTATACTTTCAGGCCCTCCCTACTTTGGCCATCTGCACACATGAACATGCAGGTGGGGAGACACCAGCCCCCTATCAGGCAAGACACAGATGTCCACTCCTGTCATATGAATACATGCTGTACCTTGCTCTGGCCTCAAGGCTATCTAGTCCTTGAAGACTAGATCCCATTGGAGACAGGTGAAGTGGAAGCAAAGGGATGTTATCACTTGGCTTTCCTGACTAACTTTATGAGACAGGTACCCTAGGAGGAACCCAGGACAGTATAAGGGCCTAACAGGCCTAGAAGCTTCTATACAAAAGCTGACCCTGGATGGAGTTCCTTGAGTCCCATCCCCCTACTATTGAGAATACAAAACCAGCTGCCAGGGCCCAGCTAGATTAGTATACCCTATTAGTCTGCATGACCAGTTCCCAGCAGGCAGGCTGAGACAGACAGACACATGTGGGTATGGTGCCTGGCACAACCCGGCCAGGCTGGGGGTGGGAAAGTGGCTCATAAGTCTGCCAGTTTCAGCTGGAGCTTACCACCCCCACCCCCAGTCATTTACTATACTCCCTTGTTTGCACTGCCAGACCAGTGTTCCTAGGCTGCCTTTCTCCTTCCAGCATATGTCAGTGGGTCAAATGGTAACTCATGTTTATGATCCCTTCCAGGGGTAAAGCCGCCAGGGCAGGTGGGGGAAGGGATTGTCACTGTATATACCTGGTCACCAGTGTCTGGGGGACTACCCAGCACACCTAATAGGAAAGGCAGGTGGTGGAACCTCTGGGCTTTCACAGGGCTCTCATAGGGCCCTCGGTGACAGAAACTCCCAGCTTTTTATAGGGCCCCTTTGTTCTCCCTCTACCCATACATACCCAGCTTGGGTTACCAAAAGGTGTCCATCCCAGGACTCAAAGCCGGGGAAAATGTTCAACTGGCCAGACCCTGTCCCCACTCCCTGCATACACTGGCTGGCTCCCATCCCCCATTTGGCCCCCAGCCAAAGTTCCCAAGGGTGACAAGACAATAGATCAGAACTACCCAGCTGGGATATCCACAGCTGAGGGCAGACCCTATACCAGTGAGATTTCATCAATAAGGGTCCAATCCTTCTCTGGGGTCCCAGAGAAAGACCATCTAGGGGTCATTTATGAGAAGAGTTAGGTGAAAGAAATAAAAGGAAAGTGGGCAAGAGGACATTCAAGCCAGCTTCAGCTAGGGGAGGCAGTTGCCGACTAGAGGAAGATGATGTTGCTGGGAAGAAGCAAAAGGATAAGATACCTTCAAGTGGGAAGCCAGGCTGAGGGCCATAACTAGGTCACAGAAGTTAGGGTGGAGTTTACATGGCCAGGGAGGTGGGAGCCCTGAGCCCTGAGGACACTAACTTGCTTGGGTGTGGCACAGAAACAGGAGGTGGGAAAGAGGAAGAAGCAGCTAGACAGGTAGGAGCCACTTGTGCTCCTAATCAGGGAGGGAAAGGTGAAAGGACATCCCTCTGATCAAGAAAACATCGGGGGCTGGAAGGCTGCAACATCCTCCATCAGGGAAGAGAGGACCCTTTTCTCCCAATAGATAACCTAAATGTTATCTATTTAAATGTGAGGCCAGAGTACCTCTCAAGAGATAATAGCAGTTTGAGGCAACCCTCACTACTCAGAGCAGGGCTGAATCCCTGTAAAGTCATGATTCATGATA